GAGATGTGACCACTGGGGAGGACTCAGAAGAGACTTCAGTGAGGACTCACAGGCTGGGAGGGTATGGGACCCCCAGGCTGCTCCAGGGGCAGCTCAGCCACGACGCTTGCTTTTAAAGAAAGGAAGGGCATGTTATTGAACACCGGCTGTCCCCAGATTCTGAGTTAGAATCTGTCACACGTTTTCTCATTCCATCCATTCACCCAGCCCATTTTACGAGAAAGGGCCCGGGGGGGGGGGGGGGGGGGGCGGGTCACACAGTCTGTGGCACAGTGAGATTTGAACCCAGGTCTTCAGACCGCCGCACTGAGCGCCTTCCTCCAAAGCAGCCTGAGAGACGCTGCTGGCAAGAGATCCCCATGTCTCACGCTGGGCTTTCTTTTCCTTCCTTTTCTTTCTTTTTTTAAAAATTAAATCCTTGTGTTATTTTACTTTCTTATTTTTAACTTTGTAACTAATACATGAATATGTTCTTTCTTATGAAAGAGTCACATAATACATTTTAAACAGAAGTCCCCGTGATCATTCCCAAACCCTGTTCCCCCTTCCAGGGAAAACCATGTTTAACTGTCTGGGTGGAGAGTTTGCCCTCATACCCCTTTCTGTATGCTTCCAAATGGTACCTCTTCGTGCACATGTCAGATAGATAGTTTTGTTTTGTGGTTTTCTTTTTGTTTGGTTGATTGTTTTTAAATAAATGACATTGGTTTTTAGATAGGGCTCTGCCATATGCATTTTTCTACTTAAATGTGTGTATTGGAGATCTTCATGTCAGTAAATATAAATCTCTTTTTAATTCTACCTAGTATTCCAAAACCTGGGATTCATTAAGCAGTCTGTAGGAATGTACATTTAGATTGCTTTTGCATAATGTCATGTATGTGTGTATGATTCCAAATGGTGACGGGGAAACTCCTTGAAATGCCCTCTTATGTCCGTCCCCATGTGACTCTTTCCCAGTAGGATATTTCTAGATTTTGTCATTGCTGGGCCTGAGAGCATGCACATTTTTTATTTTAATAGGCATGGCCAATTTGCCCTCTAAAAAGCTTGTGCCAATTTATACTCACAACACCAAGACTGGCCAGGAGGACTCTCTCCTCACAGCCTCTATCTCACAGGATCTTATGAGGATTCCTTCCCTCACCTTTGCCATTTGGAGAGGTGAACAGTGCCTTGTCATTTTAATTTGCTGATTACCAATGACTTTTGCACTTTTCCTTGATTTATTATCCATCTTCTAAGAGAGCTTGCTCAGAGCCATTACCCATCTTTCTATGGGTTATTTATCTTTTTCGTATTGATTTGTTGAAGCTTTTTATATCACCTGCTCTTAAACACATCCCCCCCTGCCCCCCAGCTCTCGGAACTGCCTGTGGACAGAGCAGTAGGAGGGGGGCCGAGCCCTCCCAGGAACTTGGGAACTTGGGTTTTCTTCGGAATGTTTTAATGAGGCGTCAAGCAGCCTCCCCCAGATTCCTGTTGTGGGCCTTCTGGGGACACTCCCTGGTCCAGCCACCACATCAGGAAGGCAGCTATTTTGGAAAGAGAGTCCCCAGGAAAAAGAAAAGATGGGGTAAGGGTTTGGAGGACCCCTTAAATTTTCTGCAAAATATGACGTGACAGGGAGAAGGTGCAAAGTCTTGCTCAGGTTTACAAAGACATCAGAGACCTCCAAACCCTTAAGAACCCCAACTCTGGAGCCAGCCTTGTGCCCAAAGGGAAACCTGGTGGGACCCCATTCTGCTAACCAGGCTATGGTTAAGTTAGGCCATGCCGTCCTTCCAGGCCTTGGTCCCCCCAGCCCAGGTAGGGGCCACTTGTGAAGATCCACAGGGTCCTAGCAGCGAACTCTGCCACCCCAGGCTCCATCCCACTGCCTGCCCTGAAGGCGGCCACGCTGGCTGGCCAGGATGAGAGGCGTCACAGTGCCTCCCCCCCAGCCCCTCCCAGCCCCAAACACAGGCAGCCTGTTCAGGAAGGCCTGGCAAGGGGGAGGAAAAGTCAGCACTTGTCAGCAGTGGTGGGGCAGGACGAGGAGCCTGCTCAGGCCAGCCGGACAGACAGAGGGCGGCAAGGGGTGGGGGAGCAGTCCCAGCCAGCTGGCATGGGGGACATCGAGGGGTGCCAGCATGGGTCCCAGTAGTGAAACCTGGAGGAGAGCTGCAGGAAGGCCAGGAGGTCATGAAGGCGTCTCCTATTAGCCAAGATTTTCTCCTTCTGGCTTTGCTGAAGGCATCAACTGCCATGGGCCTACCTGTCCTCCGCTCATTTAGAGCTGGGGACAAGCTGCCATCACCAGCACCATCACCACCATCACCTCTGTATCTACTTCCACCCCTAAACTACCTTTGAGAAGGCTGCCTTAAGGGCGTCTGCAAAGAGATGCTTGCTTGACACAGCAAAGGGTACAATCTGGAAGGTCTCCGTGGAAATATGGTGCTATGGCTGGCACCAGGGGCCCCAGTGGCCTGCTGCTTCCTCCTTTCTGTCCCTTCCTCCAGGGCTGCTGCTTTTAGTGTCAAGCGGACCTTTGCCCCATTCCTGGCCCTCCTCTTTCTAACTGTGACTCTTGGCCTCAGTGTCCCAGTTTGTAAAATGGGGATGTAGAAGGTGAGGGAAACATGGGTGAAGCTCCTTGAACCTGGGGAGGGTGCACTAGAGCGGAGGGCATTGAAGCTGAGCCCTCTGATGTTGGGTCAGGGAGAGTCACGCCAGCCTAAAACCCAGACCACAGGAGGGATGTTGGGGAGATATGGGACACCTGGTACAGGGCTGGGTGGCCTCACCATGGTGGGTATGGACTAAGTGATCCCTGGCCAGAACCCAGTCCCCCAGTACCTGAGTCCTCACCCCTGAGACTGGAAATCTGCAGACTGTCTGGATCTAAGGTGATGCAGGTCTGAGTCCTCTGCACCCTGGGGCTGGGCTGAGAAGACAGGAACGCTCCAAGGGGAAAGAGTTGGTGGGTGGCGGGAGTGGCAGACAGGGGGATGCCAGGCTGGGAGGCAAATCATAGTTATCAGCATTTCCCCTCCTGCCCAGGAGGTAAGACTTCCCCAGCCAGGGCAGAAGCAGAGGAGGGGTTCTCTTACCCCCAAGCCCAAGCTGGGGAGGCCTGACAATGACCTTGAATCCCAGTATGAGTCTAGGGTAGATCCAGAAATGCAAGAAGTCATTGGGATGTCCTTCCATTCCCAAAGCTTGTCAGGCACACTTTTGTGGGTCCTCTGCCCACAATCCTCCCAGGGGGCCCACCTCCCATCTGCCCCTCACTGTTGCCACCTGGACCCAGTCATTTAACCAGACAATCTCTACCTGTCATCCTGGTCCCTGGCCTGGAGGTACCCTTTTCACCTGGCAGCAGGGGACCCATAGGGTGGGGAGTCATGAATTGCTACTACCACTGCTATTAACAGTAGCAACAATAGCGACCACTTTCCCGAGCCCCACCCCTGCCCTGGCTTTTCATGCAGCACCTCATTTAATACTCACAACAGCCCTATTATCACCCTGGTTTTGCAGGAACACTGAGGCACAGGGTTAAGCAACTTTCCCAAAGACACAAAGCCAGTCAGGTGTGCAGGTGGATCCAAGCACCGGGGCTGGTAGCAGAACTTCCCTGGATGGGGGGGAATGTGCAGCTGGAGGGAGGGGTGAATGGGGCTGGGCATCCGGGCAGGGGAGCTGTGCTCTGAGGCTTGGAGGTGGGAGTGCAATTGGTGTGGGGCCGTCCTCTCCCTGGGAAAGTGACTGCTTAACTCTGACCTGAATTCTTGCTGCAGTGGCAGCTCTGCTGTGATTGGGGTGACAGAGAAATAGGTCCTAAAGTTCATCGAGGCCAGAGGTGGGGCCACCACTCCTGTGGATGAATGAAGGAGTTGGAAGGGGGCATGGCATGCTGGGAGCACATACTCTTCCCTCTCCCAAACATTCCCAGTTCCACTGCAGAAACAAGACTCTGGAAAAGGGAATTTGCCTCCTCCTGGCCGTGGAGAGGGGGAAGCCAACAGCAGAGGTGGAGGCGAAGGAGACTCCATGGGCTTGTGAGAGGGTGTGTTGGTCAGTTTCTGGTCTGCCAACTGGTCAGTCAGTTTTCAACTCATGACTGCCTGCCTCTAGCCTAGGCCACCAGCTGTGACCCTCAGCCACATCAGTGGGCTAGTCTGTTGGGAGGGCTGGTGAGTCAGCAAGGCTCTGGGGACTGGTGGGAGCCTTGGTCAGTCATTCAAGAGCTCTGCATCTGCAGGGAAGAATATGGCACATTGTCTGTCTTGAGAGGGGTGGAAGTGGGCAGAGGGAGAAGGGGAGTCAGGTGTGGGGAGGGAGTGAGGACAAGGTGGCAAAGATGGTGTGGACAGTGGTTACTGGGCAGGTGGCAATATTGGTGATGGCCTTTGGTGATAATGGAGTGGTGGCACTGGCGCTGGTGGAAACAGAGGTGGTGGTGGTGATGGCAGTGGCGTTGTACCGGTTGTGGTCACGGTGATGGTGGTCGTTTGGATGGTAACAGCAGTGCTCATGGCGGTAACGGTGCTGGGGAGGGATGGTGATGGTTGTGCTGGTGTTAGTGCTGGTACTTGTGGTTGCTGATGGTGATGCGACCGGAGGATGGTTATTGATGGAGGTATTAGTAGCAGAGATGGAAATGGTTGTGAATGGTTCTGAAATAACAGGAGTGGCATGGGCAGAGATCAGCCCCCTCAGCAGCCTGAGTCCCCAGTGTCAGAGGCAGAAGGAGAGCTTCATGCTAGTCTGGAGGCCCCTGGATGCTGGACAGGCTGGAGTTGCCCTCTCTCAAGCCCATCACCCTGCTCCTACTTCTGCCCCAGACAGCTGAGCAGTAGCTACTGTGAGGAAGCCAACCATAGGATGGTGGGGCCAGCAGCCGGGACATGGAAATCTGCTCCAGCCCTTCCAGAGGGCCACGGGCATTGGGTCCAGCTGAGACCTCGGGGTCCACTTCGGCCCCCAGAGACACGCACGGGACGCCCAAAGACACGAACGCTACAGCATCAAGCTCGCAGACGCGCACACGCTGACCTTTGCCCAGAAACACACGTGCGCGTTCACAGGCACGTCAGGCTCACGTCCCAAGTTTGCACGTAGGACGAGCGCACGTGGGGACGCCCGGAGACGGGCACACACAGGGCACGCTGCAGCCCGTCGGCGGGCGCGCGGCCACTGGGGGGTGCGCCGCCCTGGCACGCGCACGCGCACGCGCACTGACGCGCACGCTCCTGCCCTAAGTGAAACCAGCAGAACCGAGACTGGCCGAGCCAATTGGAGACTCCTTGGCCCTGGAAGCCTAGCTGCTGCCGCCAAGAGACGCGGTCAATTAACTTCCCCCTGCAGCCGGGCTCCCTGACCCGTCTGCCCGCCCCTTCCCGGCCTGCCTGCCCCTGGTCCTCCGCCCCGCGCAGCTCGCTGCGACCGAAGGAAGGAAGGGCCGCCCCGCCGCGCCGTCTGAGGGCGTGCGGCTCTGCCCGCTGGGTCTAAGCGGATGAGCCCCTCCCCGTGGAGTCTGAGGGGAACAGTCTTTTGGGGTAGCGGAGCCGTCTCTGGGGACGTGGCCCTGCCTAAGAGCCTGAGGAGACGTGGGCCTGACCTGGGGTGTCGCAGGGAAGGCACCAACCCTCGCGGGTCACACTCATAGCAGTGGCTGGGCTGGGCATGCTGAGCTGTTCCCAGGGCGCCATGCTGCTTGGGCCCTCGGACTCCTCTCTTCCCAAGTCAGGGGACAGAGGCTCAGACCCTTTCCGGCAGCCACCTTCGCAGGGTGAGACATTCCCCACTCCACCCCACCCCCGCCATGTTTTATTTCCTTCCTTATAATGATGCTTGTGAGTCCCATGGGGTGGCAGCCAATGCTCAGGGTGTGCAGGTTGGAGGAAGGGAAAGGACATTCCAGGCGGAGGACAGCAGGAATGAAGGCCATGTCTTCAGAACACAGGGTCTCCTTGGATGGAGGGAGCTCCCAGATAAGCAACGGAATGAGGGGGGCTCCCCACAGCCTGCACGGGAGTGCCCAACCCAACTCAGACCACTTGCCAGCAATGCCTCTATCCGCTCCCTCTTGGGAACCCAAGGGGGAGGAGCTGAGGCACTCACCATTCACTGGGAAAAGTATTGAAGGGGGAGCTGGACCAGGATGGAAACTGGTAACTCCCAAGGTCCTCCAGGGCTCCAGGACTTGAAGGAATCCAGGCTGGGTTTGTCTTCCCAGAGTTCAACACTGCTTATCCACCCCCACCCACTGGGTCCCCAGCAGGCAGCCAGGATCCTGTGAGGATCCATCCTGGGACATTCCATCCTGTTCCCATGTAGCCCTGGGGAAAGAACTGGACAGAGAGTTTCAGTGGCTGCTGCCTACAGGGTTACTGGCGGGCAGGCAGGGGACAGCCCTCTCCTTTTCCCTTTGATGGAGCAGGGCCTACCCCTCGGAGCCACAGCTTCCCATCTGTAAAATGGAGGCTACATAGGGCAGATCTTCCTCATGTGGCAGACTTTCCACATTCTCTCTAGAGTCACAGCCTTTGGAAAGGGGGGAATCCCTCTGGGAGGATGGCATGGCTCTGGGGTCACTGCTGCTCTGGAAAGTCCTGCCTGCGGTCTGACCTTTGGCTTGGCAGGTGGATGCAGATGACGTCATGACCAAAGAAGAACAGATCCTCCTGCTGCACCGTGCCCAGGCCCAGTGTGAGAAGCGGCTCAAGGAAGTCCTGTGGAGGCCAGGTGGGAGCGGGCCCAGATGAGGAGGGTCTGGGGATGGGGCAGGAGAAGGAGGGGCCAGATGAGGGTGGGATGTAGAGCCAGGTGACGGCTCTAGGTGAGGGTGGACTCAGGTAAGGGGACCAGGCCAAAGTGAGAACCACAAGTAAGGTGGGTCATGCACATGTGGAGTCAGCAAGCTCAGGTTGTCCTTGGCTTATCCTAAGTCCTGAGGACAAGGTCTGTGTGCTGTCTGCCACCAGCCCTCAGACATCCTCACGCCCACTCACGTTCTCTTGAACACACACACACAGTTGGGAGTGGGGATGGAGAGAGCCTTTGGCAGGGTCTCCCCAGAGATGTGCAGGAGTTTTCCTCTTGGGAGGTTGGTAGGGCAGTGTGAAGGCAATTGAATCCAAATCACCCCCAATTGCTCAGATCTGGTGGGGCAAGCAGGGATCAGGAGCTCTGGCTAGGGTGCCAGCACCAGCAGGGTGGGCCGGGACAGCTTCCCGAAGGAGGAGTTAGCCAAGCCAAGTCCAAAAGGATGGGTAGGTCTTTGGAGGAAACCACCTGGGCAAAGAGGTCTCCAGGGTGGGGAGAATGGAGGGTCCATAGGGCTGGATGGGCAGGGGGAAAGGACAGAGGGAGAGGAATGGATAGCTCAGATTCAGTCATGATCATCGCCTGGCAGGGAGGGTGCTTGACCTGGGCAGGGAGTGTTCCCTTCCACCAGCACAGCATCCCTGTGGGACCCCGGCCACAAGGAAGTAGAGCAGCACCTGATTTCACTGTTCCTGTACCCCCTTTCAAGCTGGGCTCTTCTCCACCCACTTCCTGGAATCCATTTCCTAGAAGCCGAAATGGGGCCTCATTAGCACTCATCCAGGCCTTCGATGTCTGTCTGGTTAATCTCATAAACCTGAAGAGACCCAAACCTACACGAGCAGCATCCTCCCCTGAGCTGGCCCTCAGGCTGCTGGGGGACCACACTGATGCACACCCAGGACACAAGAACACAATGACACACGCACCCTGCAGCACACAGACTTTGCTCACACTCACAGAGCCTCACATGGTCTCTGCAGTCACGGCCCCACCCACCAGCGGCTCTGGTCACATCAACATCAGGGCTTCAGGTGGACCCAGTCCCCCTCCCTCCAGGTCCTGAGCCCAGCCCTCTTCCTCATTGTGGAAACCTTCGAGGAGCCTCTCTCTGTCCCCTCCCCATCCACCATGGAGCCCCTCCCTTACCCCATCCTGCTCCCCACACCCCAACAATGATGCCTGAGGGTAAAGATAAGGAAATGGGCACAACCATTCTCAGGTCGTCTGGACTCAGTTTCCCACCCTTGCCACAGACCCAGCGTGGGAAGGCCAGGGGCCCCTGGCTTGGGCTGTAGCTGAAGGGGTACAAGCAGGTAATGAGGGGGGCGTTGTAGCTAGGAAGAAAGACTAGAGAGAAAGAGCATCTCTCCAATGGAGAGAAAGGCCAGGCCCCATCTCAGATGAGTCTCCAGGGCCACTGCGGAAGCTGCAAACCCCTTACCCGAATATCCTAGGGCAGGGGACGGGGTAGGTGGACTTGTCTGTCCACTTTGACAAATGGCCCCACCTTGCTTTTGTCTTCCGCATCACCAGCGTCTCTACCTGCACAGCACTCCGGCAGACTTCATGTTTGCTGTGTAACCTGTCTGTGGACATCACCCCCTCTGTCCACTTTTATATCATGCGCCCCCTGGTGGGGCCTTCGCTCCTGTGAGCCCTTGTCTGACTCCTGGGTGGAAGGACACCACCTCTGCTGTCTCACCCACATTGACTGCTCAAGCCACTGGCTGATCCGACCCTACACTCACATGGTGTTCACTCCCATTGGAACCTGGCTGCAGTCTCCACCTCCTCTCATTACTTGTCCACCTGGCAAGCACTTTACAGTTTGTGAAGCACTTCCTCACCCATCGTCTCAGATCTCCCAACAGTCTGGGGTGTCAGCAGAGCAGGGGACAAACCCCACTGATCAAAAGGGGAGTCTGACGCAAGAGGGTACCCCAGGTCTCCTGTTGTAGCACAGCTGACGGCCATAATTACCCTGATTTCTCCAGCTGACATAATGGAATCACACAAGGGATGGACGTCCGCATCCACATCAGGGAAGCCCAGGAAAGAGAAGGCATCTGGGAAGCTCTACCCTGAGGACAAGGAGGCGCCCACTGGCAGCAGGCACCGAGGTGCGTCTGTGCCCCCATGCATCCATCTGACCTGGGCCTGGGCCTGCTCACTCCCACTGCTCTGCCCCACATGTGAGCCCCCTGTGGAAAATAAAAAGCTGCAGCCCCCTCCCCAGGAAAGCAGGGCAGGGGCTAGCAGAAGACAGAACCTAGGGGTCAGCATGTGGAGGGGCAGGCAAGCTGGATGGGCTCAGGCCCCTGGGGGATAAACGTCGGGAAGTCACCCAGCACCACCCTGCAGGGGTGGACCCAGGGCTTCAGCCCCACCCATGGAGAAGAAGAGAGGACAGTGAACCCTGAGAGACAGAGAGGCAGGGAGAGATCCACAGATACAGAGAGAGAGGGACATACAGAGAGAGACATGGAGACAGAGATAAAGAGAGACAGAGTCACAGAGACAGAAAGGGGACCAGGAGGTACAAACTGAAAGTCTGGGACCCAGCGTGTAAGAGGAGGTGCCCCATGACACACAGCGAGTAGAGAAACACAGCAGGAGGGGAGGGCAGTGGCAGAGGGATGGGGCCAGAGATAGTAGGACAAGGACAGAAGAGAAGGGAGGGAGGGAGATGAGGAGAGACAAACATAGAGCCCAGGCTTCGGCCACAGGGCCGGTTTGAACCGGCTGGGTGGGCAGCGGATTCCAGATGGGCCACATCTGGGAGGCTGTGGTCACCCTGTGGCTCCCTGGGGACTAGAGGGAATTGTGGGCCTGGCTGGGCGGGGCTGGGAATATGGCGCCCAGGACAGAGAGCCTTTCACCAAACTGGGTGGGGCCAGCCATCAAGGCAGCCTTCCAGGATGGATGGAGAGTCCTGTGGTTGGAGCCCTACAGGAGGAGAGAAAGGGGCTGCAAGCTGGGGTGGAACGTGGAAGATCCAGAGGCTGGGGACCCTCCGAGGTCACTTAGCATCTGTGTAGTGAGGCTGGGCCCAAAGGTGGGATGTGCCACCCTGCTCTGAATCCCACCATTAAGATTTAGACTTGGGAGATGGTATCTTTCCCCAGCAGTGGCCATGGGTGTCTCATAGCAGGTACCCAGGGCAGTGGGTGGTGACAGAAGTACAGGCTGATACGGTTAATCCCAACTTCCCAATGAGGAAACTGAAATGCAAAGACTGGGGACACCTGCGTGAGGTCAGCAGCTCTTTGTCCAGCTGGCACTAGAAACCAGACCTCCTGGCTCCTGTCCATGGTCCCAGGGGAAGGGTCACTTCGGGAGCCTCCCAGCTGAAGGAGAGTTAGTCTGGGAACCTGACCTTCTTCGGGGACACGTGAAAGGTGGAACCAACAGCAGAGAGAAAAGAGAGAGACCTAAGTTGGGGCTGAGCATTTGAGGAGGGGAGGGCCCTATGTTGTATGACCTCAGCATGTCACCCACCGCTCTTGGCCTCTGCCAACCCATCTGGAAAATGGGGCTGGTGCCAGTACCTGCATGGAGGCTGTAGTAAATTCTGTGCGGCCAGGCGGTTGTGGGGCACAGCAGGGAGTAAGGGTACAATATGGTTTCTCCAGAATGCTGAAGCCTGAATTTTCCAGTCCTGGGGCACACCAGTCCCTGTAGGAACCTATAGCCACAGGTGTGTTCATCCCTCAGTGTCACCATGGACTTGACTAACCATGGACTTGACTCTCTCCTGGTGTCCCCTACCCTGTCTGTCTCTGGGCACAGGGCGCCCCTGCCTGCCCGAGTGGGACCACATCCTATGCTGGCCGCTGGGGGCACCAGGTGAGGTGGTAGCTGTGCCCTGTCCCGACTACATTTATGACTTCAATCACAAAGGTAAGGCCAGCTGAGTGGGTGGGGGTCACAGGGATGCCAGGACTTGGAGCTCCCGGCTTCAGTGACTCCAGACCCCTCTCTGCCTGCCCTGACTCTCCCACGGACCTGCAGGCCATGCGTATCGACGCTGTGACCGGAATGGCAGCTGGGAACTGGTGCCCGGGCACAACAGGACATGGGCCAACTACAGCGAGTGTGTCAAATTCCTGACCAATGAGACACGTGAACGGGTGCGAGCCTTCCTCCTCCCCCACCCGACCGTGAGAAGTCCACCCCCACCCCTGAGCTAGCCCCTAGTGTCCCCTGAGCTGGCCCTGACTCCCGACCTTGACCCCTCCAGCAACCTTACCCTGATGCTCGCGCTGAGTCCCAGGGCTCTGACTATGTCACCCCACCTGCACAGGAGGTGTTTGACCGCCTGGGCATGATCTACACCGTGGGCTACTCCGTGTCGCTGGCCTCCCTCACCGTGGCGGTGCTCATCCTGGCCTACTTCAGGTGGGTGGGGCGAGGGCGGGGCAAAGCCGGCAGGAGGAGGTGCGGGCGTGGTCGGGGGCGGGGCGGGGCCGAGGTAGAGCGGCTCCTCCCCCTTCGTGGCACCCCTCACCCCTGCCGGGGTCCCTGCCGACCCGGCGGCGCCCAACTTCCTGCCGGCCGCGCGTCCGAGCCCCACCCACGGTGCTGTCGCGCGCCCCGCAGGCGGCTGCACTGCACACGCAACTACATCCACATGCACCTGTTCCTGTCCTTCATGCTGCGCGCCGTGAGCATCTTCGTCAAGGACGCGGTGCTCTACTCGGGCGCCACGCTCGACGAGGCCGAGCGCCTCACGGAGGAAGAGCTGCGCGCCATCGCCCAGGCCCCGCCGCCGCCCGCCGCCGCCGCCAGCTACGTGAGTGCCCCGGTGCCGCCGGCTTCGTGGGGGCCCACCCTGCGCGCCCGGCCCGCGCCCCCGCCTGGCTCCTGCTACCACCACTAGCTTAAGGCACGCAGACCCACCTCTCGGGGTCCCTCGCACCCCTCAGCTCTGCTGCCAGCCCTCCCGCTAAGTGACCCACACTCCCCGCCTGTGAGCGACGCTCCGCCTCAGCCCTGTACCCCTCGCCACGCCTCCCCATCACCTGGCCCCCTGCCCCGACAACACCACACACCCTCCTCAGGGAGCCCCCCAGTGGCACGCGCCGGTTCTTGCCTGCTTGGCCAGCACCATTCGTCCCATCCCACCAGTGTCCCGCCCCGGGCTCCCCGTCCCTGCGCCCAGCCCAGCGCAGCCCAGCGCAGCCCTGGCCTCCCCAGATGCAGGCCCTGCCCTCTGGCTAACTCCGGCTGGTCTCTTAGGCGGGCTGCCGGGTAGCAGTGACCTTCTTCCTTTACTTCCTGGCCACCAACTACTACTGGATACTGGTGGAGGGGCTGTACCTGCACAGCCTCATCTTCATGGCCTTCTTCTCAGAGAAGAAGTACCTGTGGGGCTTCACGGTCTTCGGCTGGGGTACGCAGGCAAGGGGTAGTGAGGTGCAGGCAGGGTGGGACCAGGGGTGGCAGGGTGAGAGGGCGCCACCCGGGTAAGGCACGGCCAGCGTATCCTGTCCTGGACATGGGCAGCAGGTGGGAGGCCTACCACCCTCTGTGACTGCCCCTATTCCAGACGTGTGGAACAGGGCTTGGCCAGAGGTCAGGTTCACATGGGGTCAGATTCACCAGAGATTGCAGCTCAGCCCAGGAAAGGGAGAGGGGACTACCAGGCCCAGATTCTGCTCAAGATCAGAGTGGGATCCTGGGACCCTCCCTTTCCCCTGAGCCCTGTGGGCTAGGCCGGCATCTGTTACCCCTCTGATCCCTCACTGGGATGGACGGGGGAGCTGCCCACTCCTCCGCCAGCCTTGGTAGGTTTGCAAGGTCCGTGGCCCAGAGCCGCAGGCCCAGCCTCTCAGCCCATTTGGGCATCAGCAGCCCCTCTGCAGAATGGGCTCCTGGGGCTGTGCTCTCCTCCCCGCCCCCCGTGGGTCTCAGATCTAGTTACCGATAATTGTCCATTATTGTTGGCAGCTCCAGAGCTTGGCTGGGCTCCGGGGCGACTGGCCAGACTGCAAAGGGGTGGGCCGGTGGCTGGCGCCCTCCCTGTGCTCAGTACTCAGAGGCCCTCAGGTCAACAGCTACCGCCTCCCTGCCCCTTGGCACTCACCCTAACCCTGACCTCACCAGGACAAGCCCCCAAGTTAGGGGAGACCTGGACCTGGTCCCAGAGCTGATGCAGGCTCTGGGGCTAGGATGTGTCCGGGTGGGCTGGAGACATGCGGATTGGGGAGTGCAGAGCTCCTTGGGGCACAGATATGTCACCGCTCTTTTTCTTGCTGTAAACTCGGATCACACTCTATCCCTCCAAGGGTGCACCAGGCCTAGAATCAAGTTGGTGGGGGAGGACCCGGGGCTCCTTCCCCAGAGGCAAAGCTCACTCAGAGCTACTGCGTGCAACCTGAGCTGGCTCAGGCCAGGACACACAGAGCTCTCCCTGTGGCCCCTGCCTGAGACAAAAACCCTCACCCCATCCAGCCCCATCCATGAGGGCTAGGACCTTTCAAACCTGGTTGGGGGGGAGGTTGCTGTGACAAGAAATTCTGGTAGCAGGCTCCCCCACGGGAGCAGCACCCTTTGGGGAGGGGAGGGGTTAATGGCGGGGCATGGATGAGTCAAGGAGACCATACTATTTCACCATGTGCCCCATAGGTATGCGTACGACACAGCACCAAGATGGGGCAGAGGGCTGAGCTGGGTCCCAAGGGCTGGGCCCCAAGGCCAGCTGGTGGGGCAGCACATGCCAGAATGTGGCTCTGTCACCAGGCAGCCCACGTGCCTGGAGTGAGGGGTCAGGGCAATGATGGAGTGAGCTGGGGGTCATCAAGGATGAGGGCGGGAGACGTGGGTGGCACACACAGCCCCTCACACACTGTCCCCTCTGTGCCCGCAGGTTTGCCCGCTGTCTTCGTGGCCGTATGGGTCGGTGTCAGGGCTACCCTGGCCAACACCGGGTAGGTCCAGGGGGAGAAGGCCAGGCCAGAAACACCCCTGGTACCCCCTCCCTCCGGGAAACATATGAGGGGCCTCCTGTACCCTGGCCCTGAGTGGCCCCAGCTTCAGGAGTTCTCAGTTCAGCCGCTAGCTGGGGACCCCCTCGGGGTCACAGAGGACTACTTCCAAAAAGGCCTGTGAGGGTGGCCTCAGGCCTGGTCCCCCTTCCTGTGTCCCTGACAACTCTGGGGCCTCGGTGGGCAGGCTTAGGGTGGGAATGGAAGGGGTGGGAGCTAATGCCTCAACCTCCCCCAGATGCTGGGACTTGAGCTCTGGGAACAAGAAGTGGATCATCCAGGTGCCCATCCTGGCCTCCATTGTGGTGAGCAGGGGTGGGTGGGGGTGTGCACCTGGGCCCCACAGCCAGCCCCGACAGGGACCTGTGGCAGCTTCCCTGGACCCCATGGTCTGAGCCACAAGGCCTGAGGACCAGCTGATCCCCACTCCAGTCCAGACAGGGAAACCCAGGGCCCAAGGAGCCACCTAGAGACCCATGGCAGAGCAGGGCTGTGGCAGGCCCTGGGCCGGAGTCCTCGCCCCACCCCGCTGGGCGCAGCCTCGAGACGCAGCCTTCCTCACTCCCACAGCTCAACTTCATCCTCTTCAGCAACATCGTCCGGGTGCTGGCCACCAAGCTGCGGGAGACCAACGCGGGCCGGTGCGACACGCGGCAGCAGTACCGGTGAGCCATGCCTGCCGCGCCCGGCTCTTCAGAGCTGGGAGTGGAGCTCAGGGGTCATTGACTCCAAGCAGCATGTACACAGGAAAGACACAGGCAAGGGAAGGATCCAGCTCTGACTCCCTGGCTGTCCCCACCCAACTGCCGGCCCCGGGCACTGATAGGATCTTGCCCTGTTTCTGGAGGCCTTGGGGGCACCCCAAGGCCTAGAGCTGGGGTCTGTGAGGGTACAAACTCAGACCTCCCCCCAAAGAGCCGGTCACAGGGACTCCGAGGGACAGGTGGGCAGTGGGTGGCCCCAAGAAGGCCACAGCTCCATTGAAGCCCTCGTGAGGCAACGGGCCATGGGAGGTGAGCGCATGTGCCAAGCGACCAGCAGGTGCAGAGGGCCCAGCGACGGGGGGCTATAACTTGTGGTCCACTCCAGGACAGCGCTGAGAATCAAGGAGCCCTGTTGTCACACTTGCGTGGACAATAGCCATCCCGAGGGAACTGGGTTATCCTCTCCTGGTGGCCAGCGGCTTGGGCCCCTTTGTATCTCTGGAGGCTGGGGCTGGCAGGGTGCGGGCTGCGCAGTGTTGCTGCGGGGGAAGTGGCTGGGCCCTGACCTTCCCGCCCTGCCGGCCCAGGAAGCTGCTGAAATCCACGCTGGTGCTCATGCCGCTCTTTGGCGTCCACTACATCGTCTTCATGGCCACGCCGTACACCGAGGTCTCAGGGACGCTCTGGCAAGTCCAGATGCACTACGAGATGCTCTTCAACTCCTTCCAGGTGCGAAGCTCGGCCAAACCTGGCTGCGGGAGGGAGGCAGCGAGGGGCTGGCTCTGATCCCAGACGCTTCTCTCCACAGGGCTTTTTTGTCGCCATCATATACTGTTTCTGCAATGGCGAGGTAAGCAGTAGGCAGCGTTGGGGCAGCGCACGGAGGGGACAGATGTGCCAGGGGCTTCCTCATAGTCTTGCCGCTTGTCTTCTGGCCCATTCTGCCTTTGTTCTTCCAAAAAGTCCCCGAGGACATTCTGAAGGCAGAGAGGCCTTTCTGGGCGATTCAGGCTCAGGACGTGCCAGGATTTAGGGGCTCTTCCGTCTCTGGCATAGCCACGGGTCTTCCCAGCCCCACAGTTGAATTCTCCGTAACCCAGATTGGAGGACTCAGCTCCCTTTGGGGCCATTTGAGGCTTGTAGATTCTGGGTGTGCCAACTGCCTGCAGCCAGGCACCATGTTCTGAGGATGGTGGGATTTTACATGGCCTTGGAATTTTCTAGTAGTCCCCTGCTCCTCTTTTTTCATTCAGTGCTGGGTGTTGCAGGAGCAGGAATGGTGGCACTGTTGGGGCTCTGGGCACACCTAACCACCCACCCTCCTGCCGCCCCAAGGTACAGGCCGAGATTAAGAAATCTTGGAGTCGCTGGACACTGGCACTGGACTTCAAGCGCAAGGCACGCAGTGGGAGCAGCAGCTACAGCTATGGCCCGATGGTGTCTCACACAAGTGTGACCAACGTAGGCCCCCGTGCAGGACTCGGCCTGCCCCTCAGCCCCCGCCTGCTGCCTGCTGCCACCACCAATGGCCACCCCCAGCTGCCTGGCCATTCCAAGCCGGGGGCCCCAGCCCTGGAGACCCTCGAGACCACGCCACCCGCCATGGCTGCTCCCAAGGATGACGGGTTCCTCAACGGCTCCTGCTCAGGCCTGGATGAGGAGGCCGCTGGGCCTGAGCGGCCACCTGCCCTGCTGCAGGAAGAGTGGGAGACAGTCATGTGACTAGGCGCCGGGAGTTGGACCTGTGGCACGGGTGGATGGACAGATGAACTGAGTGACAGGTGGTTGGATGGTTGCCCACTCAGGGCTGGGGCTGGGAGGAAAAACACGGAAAAAAGAAAAGAGAAAAAAAGAAAAAGGAAGAGGAAGCAGTGTGTGGCTTCCTGTTGTCTGAACTTGGGACTCTGAGTGGGGAGGGCATGGGCGTCGTAGGGGAGTTGGGGGGGACTGACCCGGGAGTGCAGAGGGGACGTGAGTCACGGAGGCATCCTTGGGTCTCACCCCGGAAAGGGGAAGGATTGGGGCGAGTGACACAGTCCAGCATAAAGAGCCCAGAAGGGCTCCAGTCTGCAGGGGGCACACAGCAGCCACTGAGTGGACCCATGTGGCAATTGGGCCTCAGCCTTCTCCTGTCACCGCTGCCACCTCAGCTGCTCCCCAGACCTGTCCCAACGCCGCTGCAGGCCCCGGATCACTGCCCACCCAGGGCTGACGGCAGAGGCCTCAGCAGATCCCTCAGTCCCTGGCTACACACCCAGGCCTGGCTTGCGTGACCCTTCCCTGGCTGTCTGGTGGCCCTCAGGGAGCCTTCCATACATGGCCCTCACCCATGCATGACCCTCAGGCCTGACACCCTCCAGCAACCAGACAGAAGTTTCAGGGGAGTGCCAGGTCCAGCAAGTGAAAGGTGGGCTGGGGTCTCTGCTCAGGAAGCCTGAGGGGCTGGTGTCTAAGCCCAGAGCCTGGACACTCACAAGACACCCAGGACAGCCACGAAGCATCCCCACCTGACACCCACCTAGCACCTTACCTGCCCCCCCTGGGCCTGCCCACTCCCGTCGACCCACACATGGGCCCCAGAAGGCACAGCCCCTCCTCAGCCTGACACCCTAAGGACTGGCCCAGCACGTGCCGCCCCATGCCCTGGCGCAAACGAGCTGTTTGCTCTTGCTCAGGCCTGCAGGTGGCACTGCCTCGGGGTCAGTGCACAAGCTGGTGTCCCTGCCCGGCCCTACCTTCCCGTCTCCAGCTTGAACCACCTTGCTCTTCTCCGTGGGCTCTTCCAAAGCCCACACCCTCCCAGTGGGGGTGAGATGAGGGGTCATGAGGTCCAAGATAACAAAGCCACTTGGGCGGTAGGTGGCGTGAGCATGCACTGAGCAGCCTCAGGCCCGCCCTGGCGCCCTTCCAGATGGCAGGCAGGGCGAACTACCGTCCAAAGGCCTGCTCCACCCATGGAGCGCCATGTGGCTTGACCTGTTTGTAACGGTAGGAGAGAGGCATAGGCCAGGTCCCGAAGGGCCTCTGAGCCAGGCTGAGCAGCAGGCACTCCCATGGATGCTGGGAGCCACTGGAAGTTCTAGAGGGAGAGCAACAAGTTCTGAGCAAAATTTAGAAGAGTCTCCACTCTGATGTGCAGACCAGAGGAGGCTGCCCAGGGGTCAGCGAAGAGGTAGCCTGGCAGGAGGCAGGTGGCCAAGCAGGGAGACAGCGACGGGGGTTGTAGGAAGGACCCTGGATGAGGCACTAGCTGGGAAGGAGACCTCAGCAGGACAGACCCTCATCCCCCTCCCCAGGGATGTTCAGTGCCCCTCTCCAGGGTCTGAAGTGACCCATCAGCTCAGCTAGAACTATGGCTCACGGCTCCAGGAGCCTCCTGACAGAGGAGTCTGGGCTGGGGGAGGAGCCCTGTGCCTCACAACCCCGAAACCCAAGGCCCGGCCTGCGGGGCGGGCAGGGGGAGCCCACATGGCCCACTCACCCTGAAACATCACTCGGCTGGGCACCCCTGGACAAGGCTGCCCCTCAAGGACAGAGTTGAGCCTCTCCTCTCAGACTGGATTCCCTCTAGGACAGGGTTTGGCCTCTTCCTGCAGATCGGGGACACCAGTCCCTACCCCCACCCCAGGACAGGCTGTGTCCCCCTCAGACTGGGTACCCTGAGGACAGAGCTATGTCCCCCCTTAGACTTCTTACCACCTTCCCTTTAGATGTCCCTCCCCAACATAGGGCTCTTTTTCCCTTTCAGACTAACTGCCCGGGACATGCTAGGTACCCTCATCTCAGGTTTGGTGTCCTTAGGCCAGGGCCAGGCCCAGGCGTCCCGGATCCAGCCGGACACCTCCTAGATGAACACTGGCCCTGCCTCCTCAGGTGGTTAGCACCCAGGACAGAGCCAGGCCTCCTCCTTTAGGCATGGCGCCATTTTCCCCTGCACTGATACCCAGGACAGGACTGCACGTCGCCCATCAGTCCAACCCCCCTGGCCAGGACCAGGTCTCCTCCCGTAGGCCGGGAGCCCCGGGGCCAGGACTGGCCTCCACTCAGAGAGGCCCCTGAGCCCCACCTGGGCCATCCAGGTGTTGGCAGAGGAAGTGGGAGCCCTCAGCAGGCCTGGCCAGCTGTCAGGACCCTGTTTGCCTTGAGCGGGGGCTAGAGCCAGGTGGTCACTTCTCCCTTCAAGGCGCCGCAGCCCGGCCAAGCCGCAGGGAACACGTAAACAGCAGCAGAGCCGGGCGGCGGGCGGGCAGGGGAGGGCGCAGACGGACTCCCACTCCTCAGCCCCGTGGCTGCGGTACCCAGGCTGCCCTGGATGCCAGGTCAGGCCAGTGGGTGGCAGGTCCAGCTCCCACCTGTCTTGGGCATGTGGACAGGCCCTCTCCTCCCTGGCCAGGCTCCCTCAGCCCAGGCTGAGAGAAGGACCTCTGGAGACCCTTGGAAGGAATGTTCCCTCGGGGTGCCCTGTCCAGCCCTGGCACATGGGCCAGGCCCCACGCGGGGCGGAGTGAGTCCACAGCTCCCAGCTAGAGTGGGGTCTAGGGGATCCAGAGCCACCCGAACATCCTCTGCCCACCCTCCGGCAAGCCCCTGTCGAGAGCGAGGACGGGGCTGGCCCCACGTGCCTGGAGTGGGCAGGCTGTGAGAGTCCACACGTGGCAGCCCTCGCCCTGGGAGGGGCCCAGAGGGACAGCAGGCAGACGGGAAAGGGGGCCGAGTCCTCTGGAGCTTCAAGAGGGACGTGACCCTGCCCCTGGGACCGAGAGGACACAGGCCTGCCCCGGGGTCTGAGGGGACTTGGACCTGCCCTGGGGATCTGAGAGGGCACTGGCTCTGCTTTGGCCGCTAGGAGAGAGGTCTGGCTGCGGGACGCGTTGGGGGGCTGGGGGTGTGGGGCATGCCGTGTAGCTCCCTGTCCCTGATGGCCGCAGCCAACCCCAGGAGCATTATCCCAGCCTGAGGCCACCATGGCCAACTGAAACACACCTTGGCTGAGGGACTGGTCCACTGGCCAGCATGGGCAGAGGAGGAAGGGACTGCAGAGCCAGGCAGGGGCTTGGGCCTGTGTGACTCTGGGCAAGCCACCTTCCCTCTCTGAGCCTCAGTTTCTCCTGGGAGGTCCGGCCCTGCTCAGACTTCCTGCCCTGAGTGGGAGCAGAATCCCACTCTTCTCCCCAGCAGGCCCCAGGCTGGGTTCTGGCTGCCTGGACAGGGACAACCCAACCTTCCCTTAGGCGAGACTGAGACACTCAGGTCCCAAAGCTAAGGATTCCCATGTGACAGGTTCCCTCCTTCTTCAGCATCACGGACACATAGGCCGGAATCCAACAGGCGGTGAGGGTGGATTCTGTGCAGATCTTACCAATCCAGGGGCTGGGGCCAGCTACCCTGAACACAGCTCTAGCCAGGCTCTGGGAGGCAGAGACCAGGATTCCAGGCTTACAACAGCCTTGCATCTGTGGGCGCAGAGAGGGTAGGTGGGGCCTCTTTGTGCTCCTGCATTTATTATGCACCTTCAGGCTCCTCCTCCACTCTCAGACTTAGATTTTTTTCTTTCTGGAAACAGGGTCTGGCTCTGTTGCCCAGGCTGGAGTACAGTGGCCCAAGCATAGCTCACAGCAGCCTCAAACCTCACAGCAGCCTCAAACTCCTGGGTTCAAGCGATCCTCCTGTCTCAGCCTCCAGAGTAGCTAGGACTACAGATGCACACCACCGCACCTGGCTAATTTGTTTTCTATTTTTGTAGAGACTGGGTCTTGCTATGTTGGACTGACTCGGAACTCCCGGCCTCAAGCAATGTGGCAATCGTCCCACTTTGGCCTCCCAAAGTGCCGGGATTACAAGCGGAAGCCAATGCGCCCCACCTTGTTTTTTGGGGGGGTAGGTGTCTTCCCAAAGGCTTCCCAGCTGAAAGGCCCCATGGTTTTTGGGCATTTCTCCCATCACGGTGAGTTGCAGGCAGAGCTGCTGGGGCCGGGGCATTGCCACAGCTCTGGTGGGGTCTCTGCAGGCAGGTGGCCCCACGGGGCTACTGCTAGCTCTGCTTCTCAGTAGCAGGGAAGAGGGGCACGGCCAGGCTGGAGGATGGGGTTCTGGGGTGTGAGAGGGTGGGCTCTTGGCCACCCCAAGCCCCTTCACCCGGGGAGGGCCTTCGCCGGCTCCTCTGCGCCACCATCTTGTGATTTCCAATCAGCCCGCGGCAGTCTGTCCCACACCCTCCTCTCGCTCCAGCATTTTTAAGAGTGGGGACAACTCTGGCATGGACTACACCCTGGCCCTTGCCTGGAGGTCACACTGTCAGGCTGCCTGCCCCCAACAAGCTCCCATACATCAGCAAGAGAGAGGGCTGCATTGCACGGCAGTTTCCGTGCCCGTGTGTCTATTTCTTTGTATTTGCGTGTGTGTCTGCTTATAAATGTGCCGTCTATGTGTGTCTGCGTGTCGTTCTGTTTGTAAGTATGCCTGTGCCAGTGTTTGTATGTGTGCCCTTGGGTATTGAAATGTGTCTGGATACGCCTACATGTCCATTTGTATGTCTGTGTGCCCGGCGTGTCTGTGTGTGTACCAGTGTGTCTATTTTGTTTGTATGTGTGTCTGTGTGTATGTGAGTGTCTGTTTGTGTGTGTGTGTGTGTCTGTGTGTGTCTGTGTGGACTCGTGGTCTGAGGACGCCGCCTGTGGGTGGAATTTGGCTCTCAGACATGTTTGGTTTGGCACTCACAGTATTTTCAACATCTTGAGCCAACATTTAAAAATCAGGATATTTCACATAAAAATTCAGCTTTCCAGCTTCTCTTAAAAATTCAGAAGCCCTGGCAGCCCTGGGCCTGTGCTCCCGTGAGGCCGTGCTCCTTCTCGCCGTGCAGGGAGGC